ATTTGCAGAAATTAGTGACACTTCCAGTGATCTCTGTACCTGCCAATTAAAAAGTTCTTTTTTTTCTTGTAGGGAGACAGAAAGACATCATTCTAAATTTGTCCCGGAAAAAAAGACACACTGGAGTGATTCACTGTGATTAAAGCTGGCAACGCTGAGTAGCTGCATGAGAGTCACTTTAAAAACATGGGTTTGAAAGAGATGTAGCTGCATCCAATTTTCACATTTGAATTTATTCAGACAAACCATCTTGTACTTTCATACGCACATCTAACATGTATCCTCCTCAGTCTTGAGATGGAAAACTTTACAAATGAACCAAATTTAGTAATTAAAAATGTCAGTTGCTGCATACACGTATAAGAAAATTATGATCAAAATATTCAGTGTCCATTATATTGGACCACTGAGATTAATAGAAAAGATCAACCAAAAATGTGTCCATTTCTTTATTCATTACATTATGAATATTATTCACTTCATAGCAGTTGCATTTCATAATGCCATGTGTACAAAGATATTTCAGGTAAAAATATGGAATCATTAAAAAGCATAAGTTACTGCATATTAATGCACATAATTGTTCCTCTGAAACAAGATAATAATAATATAATATAATATATACATGTTATACAATATAATATAATATAATAAATGCTGCTGCAATGCTGTTATATATATATTTTTTTTATTTTATTTTTTTTTTTCACTTTTTAATACAATTTTTTTTAATTGCTGCAATATTTGACTCTCCAATAATCTTAACCCAAGAAGCCTTCTTGATTCACGATGGGATATGGTCGCACAGAAATAATTTGAAAACCCATTAAATCGCATTGTATTGCAAGTACTGAGAGGTTCCCTGCTGAAACATGGAAATAAGATCACAGCTGGACGGTCCCTTATATCCGTCATTTCTCTGAATACGGTGGGGGGGTGAGGTATACAGGTGACTCACTGAGGTTCTCTTCGGGCCTCTAAATATACACATGACATGATTATAAAAGCAATTTGCTCTCCCCAAACGCTCTGGCAAACACTTTTAATATCCAACCTCTTGCTCACGCACATTAAATTTTACTGTAACTTTTGCAAGCTTTCCAAATTGTTCTATTTTGGAGGAATTTCGATAAGAGCGACTGTAACTTTCTGCTGTTCTTGAACAAAAATGAGACTTTCTCTGGCATAAACAATTTAGCAGTGGGAACAAGTCCTCCTTCATATCACTGACATTTTCTGTCAGGCCAGAGGCAATAAGAGCGAGCTTTGCATTCAGAGCGCACCACAAAGCAGCTTTTAGTGTCACGACTGGAATGGAAATGGGGTTCACCACAGGTAATGGAGAAATGAACTCCCGTGTCAGAGGAATGGGCGCTCTCTACGCCACACTCTTAATATCAGAGCAGAGCAGGACAATGGCAGAGCAACATCTGATTAGAGCGGCTGAGTTCCAACATTCTGTTTCTATGGGAACAGGATATTATGTGCCTTGAGTCTTGAAATCCACAAAGTCCTTAAATGTATTCTAGGCTATATATATATATATATATATATACCAGTCAATAGTTTGTAATAATTTTTATTTTTTAATGTTTTAAAAAGAAGTATCTTATGCTTTCTAAGGCTGCATTTATATAATCAAAAACACAGTAAAAACAGTAATATTGTGAAATATTATTACAATTTAAAATAACTGTTTTCTATTTGAATATATATAAATTGTCATTTATTCATGTGATGCAAAGCTGAATTTTCAGCATCATTACTCCAGTCTTCAGTGTCACATGATCCTTCAGAAATCACTCTAATATGATGATTTGCTCTTCAATATTCCTAATTATTTTTGTTGAATTCATTTTACCCCAAACTTTTAAATGGTAATGTATCACAGTTTCCACAAAAATATTAAGCAGTACAACTGTTTTCAACATTGTTAATAAGAAATGTGTCTTGAGCAAAAAAATTTAAATGTAACAACAATTCTAATACATTCTTATTTATTTACCATTAGTATTAATATATTTTAATAAATAATATCTAATTATTTTTATATAAATGCCCATAACCATGCAGAGGATAAATGGTTTGGAAAATTAAAGGATATATTTTACTATCTAATGACAAAACACAAAAGCATATTTTAAAGTCATTATTGATATTCATGACGTTGCTTAATTGCATGTCAGAAACAAATTCATCAAAACATATTCAGTGAATATTTGATATTTCTGTCGGTTTTCTCTTTCATGTCAACAACTATCATTGTGAAGCAATAGTTTGTTGAGGTTCTTGATGAGAAAGATAGTTACAGTTATTAAACTGTTGACATGTTTATGGCTAGCTACACTAATAACACATCGGTTTAATGTCACAGATATCTGAATTTAACTCTGATCACTCTTGTTACTGTATATAAAACAGGGACAGCGCTCATGCAATGCTTTGGCCAAGCATTTGTGTCTGTGTGTTTATGAAATTTCTGGCCAGTGTGAGAGAATGTAAAGCAGCTGTTATTCAGATTATTGTCTGGACATGAATACGTAAACCTCTGCATTCAGTAGAGATTTGGAAGTGCTTAGAGCAGGGGTGCCCAAACTCGGTCCTGGAGGGCCGGTGTCCTGCAGAGTTTAGCTCCAACTCCAATTAAACACACCTGAACCAGCTAATCAAGCTCTTATAGGCATACTAGAAACTTCCCAGCAGGTGTGTTGAGGCAAGTTGGAGCTAAACTCTGCAGGACACCGGCCCTCCAGGACCGAGTTTGGGCACCCCTGGCTTAGAGCAAAAAAAAAAAAAGATGAATCTCTAGAAGATGAACTAGTTAATTCTAGGGAAAATATATGATTTATTCGTGCAATGAATTTGCAATTATAATCATTCTTTTGGTCTCTTATGTTGTGCCAGTTGCACACTATTAGTCAACAGGGGCCTTGCTAGCTCTCAATTAGTATTCTCATCTTCTGTCTGTTAAGTGTCGGAGAATCATTGTGGTTACATGCTTACTCGCTGACATTTCCATGCCTTATGATGCTCAGATGCAAGCTGGTGATTATCCAATTCCCAGCCTGCGTTTGAGAAGCATTGGTGTGAGAACCGTGAGCCTCCATTATCCAACAGCCTCCTCTTCTGACACACTCAATTATGATGTCATCTCGCAACTAATCAGTCTTCAAAGGTGTGCTGTGGGACGTTCGTTTGAGAATTTCAGCTCTGGCATTTCGCTCTGTTCCAAAACCTAGTGAGCTGCCTACTTGGAGAGCTGCTTCCTTCTAACCTCATTTTGGAAAAACACCTTGCCTGTCCCAGACTGAACCGGATCACTTCCATTGTGCCAGCTTATGGACCCCACATTTGTATTATGATGCACTAATTACATATTTTAGCCACTTTATTTCCTCTTGCCCATTTTAAATAAAATGATTTGATAGATGGATGGATGGATGGATGGATGGATGGATGGATGGATAGATAGATAGATAGATAGATAGATAGATAGATAGATAGATAGATAGATTATTCTGTCATTTTTACAACAATGGATTTCAATTGAATTTTATGCTGTAAAGAGTTTCTTGTAATTTTACTGTTGCTTTAGTTTAGCGAAATTGTTCCCTCAGGATGTTGGACCCTACTCAAGAAAATTGCCCATTTTTTATTATTTTTATTATTATTTAATTTAATTTAATTAAAACAATTTTTTTAAATAGTTTATATTAAATCCAAAAATATATTAACCCTTGTGTTGTGTTCAAAACCTATAACACTTTGGATGTTCCAGTGCTTATAAATCACTCATTATGCTATATTATCACCAAATATTGGATTCAATCTTTTTGTCAACTTCTTTTCTTTCATTTAGGACTGGTTTTGTATTTATATTTGCATCTGATTAATCGTAGGCCTCATTTATCTGAAAGTAGGCACCTAATTTTTTTAGTGAAAAAATTATTATTTATGAATAATTTTCACAATATTAAATAAAATGTGGAGAAAATTTGCACTGTTTATCACACTAGTGTACTTAAATGTTTAATCAGGTAGTTTGTTTTGAAAGGCTTTTATTTTATACAAAATGGCACAAAATCACACTTGTGGTCTTCCCGGGCCAAAAATGACTGGCTATTCAGAGTGAATGGGAAAGATCACAAAAAACAGGACCTTTATTTTGAAATGCTTTTATTTTCTGAAAAGGGGCAAAAAGTAACACTTTTGCTGTTCCATGTCAAATCTGAACATTGTGGCATACGAGAAAGAACACATTAAAGGGTTACTTCACCCAAAAATGAAAATTCTGTCATTAATTACTCACCCTCATGTCGTTCCAAATCCGTAAGACCTCCGTTCATCTTCGGAACACAAATTAAGATATTTCTGATGCGTTCTGAGAGCTCTCTGACCCTCCCATAGATCACGGTCCAGAAACGTAGCAAGGAGATCGGTAAAATAATCCATGTGATTATTCAACCGTGATTTTACGAAGCTACGAGAATACTTTTTGTACGCAAAGAAAACAAAAATAACGACTTTATTCAACAATTCGTCTCCTCCGCATCACCCTGTAGCGCCATTTTGGAGAGTATTCACTGAACATAAACAGCGTATGCTATTCTGTGTCAGCTGCGTCACGCGGATACGATGTCTGCGTTGTTTACGAAAACAATGTATCTGCTATCTCTAAGATTGGAGGTCTTACGGATTTGGAACGACATGAGGGTGAGTAATTAATGATAGAATTTCCTGATCCTGATCCAATCAGGAACTCAGGAGCTTCTATGTTATTTACAGTGCTGCCTTCGCTAGAAGTCCATGTAGACAGCAAGGCAGCTCACTAGGCTTTTCTGAAAATTGTCAATAACCTTTAATTACACGTTTCCACAAAAGTGAATAATTTACAACCTTGTTTTTTTGGTTGCTTTCGTTACAGATTGTCTCTCTCTCTTCTTTCACGTGTTCATTGTAGCCTTTTTTTAATGAGAGATTTCTTATCCATTTCTCCCCAGGTCAGCCTGTCCAATGACTCCAGCTGTGTGGAGGAAATTCTGCGGGTGAGTTAGATTGGCTCTCTTTCTCTCTAGCACGCTAATTACGTCTGGTCACCTACTCAGCGCCATTTACACACAATGGCACTTCACTGTCATGAGATGGGTTTGTTTTAATAGAGAAGCCCCATTACATTAAGACTAATGGTCCTATTGTTCCAGAATGTACCTTTAAAAATATGTTCATACAGGCTGAAAGCAGTGAAAAGAAACCATGTTTCACATTATTGTAAATGAAACCCTCACTATGTTTATTGTTGGATACTCATTATGAGTCTTAATAGCATTTTTTTTTTTTATTTATGTTTTGGTTAGTATGACATTTTTATTATTAGTTTAGAATGTCGTTATTATGTATAAATGTGTCATTCATAATAGTTCTTCACACTCGAGTGCGTATTTTATACATTAATTAATGAAAAGTGCTATGATGCATTCTTAAAATATTCATTATATACATTCTAAAATTCTAATTTAATCTGTTACATTTTCTATAAATAGCTGTATCCAGTTACATAAATATTACAAATACATAATTCTTATTCATACTCACGACTTTAAGGAGAATAATACTTTATAAAACATGTTAACATAACTTTTTTTATGGTTTAGCTTACTTATTTCTTTAGCAGTACATAATAAGACAAAATATAGGAAGACGACACCATAAATGCAAAACAAACAATGCAATTTGGTATTGATCTTGGGTTTTAATGCATTACATTTTAAGGTTGAATCTGTAAGGATGTATTGTGAATGCATGTAGATATCTATGATGCATTTTATATACATGATTCATAGCAAGCCTTACCCATTAAGCTCCTCAAAATGTCTCTTTTTTTTGTAATGTTAAGACATGCCACCACCACAGTTATCAGTGTAAGTGAAGTGCAGTCAACTGACTCCTGTATTCTGTCAGTGATGGCAGAGGCAGAACATGTTGTCAGGGCAACCCAGAGTACATCTGTCTGCTGAAGTGCGTGTTGGGATTGCTCAGAGGAACCGCTGTAGTCCCTCACACTTGAGCTGCGCTGATGTTGACTCACATGTGACTCATGAATGAGGAGGTGTTTTGCTTCAGTCTCTATGACAAATCCACTGAAGAATCCCATGTCATAAAGAATAATTACTAGCTAATAGAGAAGAATCAAAATAACATATGTGACCCTGGACCACAAAACCAGTATTATGTGTCAATTTTTCAAATAAGCTTTCCATTGATGTATGGTTTGTTAGGAAAGGACAATATTTGGCCGAGTTACAACTATTTGAAAGTCTGGAATCTGAGGGTGCAAAAAAAAAATTATGATACTGAGAAAATCGCCTTTAAATGAAGTTCTTAGCAATGCATATTACTAATCAAAAATTAAGTTTTGATATATTTACAGTAGGAAATTTACAAAATATCTTCACTGAACATGATCTTTACTGAATATCCTAATGATTTTTGGCATAAAAGTAAAATCTATAATTTTGACCCATACAATGTTTTTTTGGCTATTGCTACAAATATACACCAGCGATCTGGTGACTTAAGACACTGAATGTTTTTTTTTCTGATGAGAACTTCTGTATCATAGTAAACTAATTTCCAAAAATTCGTCCAACAGACAGACAGGACAGACAGACAGACAGACAGACAGACAGACAGATAGATAGATAGATGATTCATTTCAGCTAACATTTGTCATTGTAATTTATTTAAAATAAATATAACTAAAACTTAATACAAAATGAATAACTACTACTAAAATTGACAAAAACACAGAGCAAAATTACTAAAACTTTAGTAAATATAAAAATAAAGAAAAAAACTGATTCAAAATATTAATAAAATCTATAATAGTAGATCAGTGATAATAAAATATTGCCAAGAACATATGCAATGTATGCAATTAGAATTAGAATTGGAATTGGAATTAGAATTAGAAATAGAATTGGAATTGGAATTAGAATTAGAATAAGAATTAGAATTAGAATTGGAATTAGAAAGCACAGATGTCACTTGACAAAATTACTTTACAGATTGTGATTCAAGTGCTACTTCAGTTTATATGCTGTAAAATATGTCTTGCCAGGTAACCTAAAAATATGTGTTTCATGCATTAAAAAGTATCTTGTATCGGCTTTAAGATATCGGCCAAATTTTCTTATCAGGCCGATACCGATAACAGAAAAAATGAGCCGATATGGGCCGATACCGATATGGTGGCCGATATATCGTGCATCCCTATTGTGAAATGTAAGATCCAAGAGAATATTACTGTCGAAGTCTAAATATTACTTGTCAAAGAGCTAGGCATGGGCCAGGATGGTCAACTCGTCGATTAGGGAGGTTGAGTAGTTTATTTATTCAGATTTTTGTTTTAGCTTTAATATTTTTGGCAGCAGCAGCACTTTAAAGGTAATGAATTCAGAGAGGAAGGTGGGATGTTAGCCTGCTGAGAGCGTGTGCTTCAGTGTGCTTATGGTAAACTCTCTGAGAGATGTCACATCTCCAAATTCAGCTCCTTTAAAGCAGCACCGCTGCAGCCATCAAAGCGCCACCTTTTTAACAAATCCAACACATTCAACAATACATTTTGTATGGGACTTTAAACAACCTGCTGTGAGCAATGTTGCTTATGCATAACACAAGTTTCTGTTTCGGTTTGAACTGTGATAGTTTTGTGCAACAAAAGATTACATGTATTTAGCCCATTACCGCGAGAAGTAGGGGTGCTGGGGGTGCTGGGTACACCCTCTGGAGTGTAGCCCACGAAAAAATGGGGGTGCTGGGTAGCCTAAGCCTACAGTGACAAGAAGCAACGGTTAAATATGAGTTAAGTTGAATCAAATTGACTGTGAAAGTCGTTTCAACTGATTAAACGTATTAAACTGACTTAAAAAATCATTTGTTGCTATGATTTTTGGATTATATTATAACCTGTAACATGTCTCTGCCGTTCCCAAATTAAGAATTAACGATCATTTCTACAGACAGCAGAGAAAGAGCGAGAGTTTGGTTTTTAATGGCAAAGTGGTCATATTTCTTTTTGTTTCTTTATTAAGTTAATTTAGAAATTATAAATACATTTATGTTTGTTGAATTCAAGTTTTTGTTTTTTAAAGGAACGACCAAGCGGCAGCGGCAGACATTGAATTGAGCATTATGTTTGATCAATTTAGCCTGCTCAAACCAACACGACTTGCCTAAAATAAACAGACATAAAACACGTCATGCATTTCACAGTATTAATTTAAACATTTAACCAAGATAAACGAGTGCTGTTTGGCACATATCCAATCGTTTGTGCGGAGACTGGAAGCTGAAGTGCGGTCTGCAGGACATGAAGGCGCCAGCGCAATCACTTGCATTTTTTTTAAGAACAGCGGAAACTTAAAAATACGCCATCATTTTTGCTCATAAAGGTAATAGTATACATAATTCGGAACTGCAAAGGGGCTACTTGTATTTGTGTGCACTCACAATATCAACAAAACCTTGTGGTTTTCTAAAATAAGGAAAACAAACATGCGCTTTCTGTTGTCTTGGTCTTGAGCACGACATGATAAATATATCTATAGAATGCTTTAAATTACTATTTTAAAATTAAATAATTCAAATCGAAAACAAAAACTCTTTCATTATGTAATCCGTAAAGATGTATTTCTCTCTAAAGGCACGACCAATGAGGATGGCTAGTCAACATTGACTCAGAAAACATTCGTTTATTAACAAATAATTCAAATATCCCCTCACTATTTTTGACTTTTTTGTTTGTTTTTTATTTTATTATAATTTTTTTGTTTGTTTTTTATTTTATTATAATTTTTTGTTAGTTTTTTGGGCTGATGTGCCAAAATTGTGTTTGCATTCAGTAGCCTATACAGCAGCATTTTTGTGCCATGTTTAAAAATAGCTAAATAAATAAAATTTGTCATAATATTTTAAGAATAAAGTTACAATTAAGATAATAAAATCATGTTATATAATGTGAAAATTCCACCCATAGGCCTATTCCTCCAAAAAAAAAAAAAAGTCTGTGGCATCCGTCATTCTTTTGACTTTTTTTAAAACTCTGATTGATAGATTCATGAGGCATTCGTTTGTATTGAGTTGTTCAGATTTTTTTCAACATGCACTCAAATATTCATGTTTATTTTGTGCTGCAAATATTAAAGAAGAAAATATAATTGATTCATATGCAGCTTGAACTGTGGCGAATTCTCGTACACATTTTTTTGCATATGGGCCCGGGGCTGACTTGCTACGCCACTGAATAAGACTGATGTACCCGCGTTGTAACACAAATAAATGTAAGGTTTTTGGATTTTCCCCTTACTTTAAATGCATGCTTATGACTCATTATTATTAATCGAAAAAAACAACAACAAAAAAAACATTAAACTTTGAACTTTTATTAACAAAATAAATAAGGATATGTTTTACTCGCGTTTAACACAAATAAATAACCTATGGATTTCCCCTCAGGCTACCTTAAAATGTTCGTAGTTTGTGGTTTATTGTCTTATTAATTAAAACACATCAGCCATAAAATAGTACAATGGCAAATTCGCATATATTAAACATCTACCTTGCATTGACAAAATGAATAAGATGGATATAGCAGTTGTAACCCAAATAAATACGTTTTTTTTCCTTTATTTAAATCGAATGCTTAGTTTGTGGTTCATTGTAATTTTTTAAATGAAAACCCAGCAACAAAGACACTCACTTATAGGCTATTAAACGAATAAATGAAAGTTTTATTAACAAAAGTTGCGCTTTGGTTCCGCCATCATATAGTGTCTTCTCGCATCACTCTTGTCACGTGACCCCCCAATCCCCCCCCCCTCGTTTTATTTCT